ATATTATACTATATTATACTTCTACTTGAGTGCAGATTTACAGTACTTTTTCCACCAGCATGTACACTGGATGGGCAGATGCATAGGAATGACGGCTGGCTGCCAGTTGAACCAGGCCATCTTTAGCTCTGTGACACTGGGATACCAGAGTGGTCATTTACTGTTTGGCACAACACCGTGGTTTGAATGATGGCATGTGAGTGGTATGATACTGGTGGCAGGCAGTGATGAAATTAGTGGGTGATGAGTGATATTTATACTCTTGCTCCTTCCTTTCCTCCATATCTATCTCTCGTTCCTTTTCTCACCTTCCTCACCCTGATAATCTACTCACTCCCTCCCTTCCTCCCCTTGTTCCTCCCACCATCTCTCTCTCTCTCTCTCTCTCTCATCCCAGACAGCAGAGAGGAATTGGTCCTAGGCAGTATTCCTTTGCCCAGCTATGTCATTTCACCCGTGGGACCTGAGGACCACATCAGCCGCAAGTATGCCTTTAAGGTACGCCTGTCTTCCTTCTAAAGACTACTCTATTTTGATTCATATATGTAAATTACTTTCTCTTTGTTTGTTTGTTTTTGTTTTGGGTTATAGTGTGTGTGTGTGTATGTCCACCTATATGTCTCCTATTGGAAAAGATGGAGTGGAAGGAATGATTTCTTCTGTAATGAAGAGGTGCACATATGCTTAAAATGTATACCCGGCATGCTATTTAAAGCACGTTTGACAAGTTTCCACCAAGTGGTTTGATGACGGAGACATCAAAAAGTAAAGTGTTCCTTTCCAACTGACACCTGTTGTATGCCGACCAACAGATTTCCTGGCACGCGACTATTTGCCCCTGAGCTATATTGTCAAGCATAATGTTGCAGTTATATAACTTCACATTGGGTATTCATCTGTTTTTTAACAAAAACTTCAGTTTTTGTGGCATTGAATACAGGGCGTTGCGATCTGCAATTACACCGCTAGATGCCACTAAATTCTACATATGGGACCTTTAAACTGGATTATTTTCCTCATCAATTATCTGTAATAGTTTGTAAATCATTGCTTTCGATGATGATTTCTGAAATCTCCTTTGTAATGGCAGTTAGTAAAACAGATCAATATCTTCCTACAGTCATAACCCTGCCTGCCTATCACACAGCCACCACTCAGCTTTGTAAAGCACTCACCACCTGTTGTAGTGATGTCTATTAGCACTGAATGTCTGTCAGTGTTTTTATTGAGACAGACAAGCTCCTCTGGAATGGAATGAAGCTTCTCCATTCCCTCAGGCACAAGTCTTTTTGAGTCAAACCGGACATGTGTGAAGTGAAGAGGCAGACATACTGTGCAGCATGCACAACACTGTTCCCCGCATGTGCTGCGAGTACTTCTAATTCTAGGCTTTAAAAATTGTATTGTTGATTAAAAATGGTGTATGCATAGACAGATATTTGCACAATGTTTTTAGGTCCCACAGACACAGCCATCTGCTTTTTGTTGTCAGTCAGTCATCAAGTTGAATTTAACTTTTAAACTTGAAGTGAAATGTTGAAGTTGTTAAAAAAAAGTCTTTGGACCAAAAGGAGTAAGAAGAAACGCAAGGGACAAGCAGACCACGATTCAGGAAGTAGTGAGGAACGTCGAGGAGGAATCGAGGAGATCAAAAGCTGTCTTGGTCTAAGTGGGAGCAACTCATGAGGAAGGTAACATGGGCAGAGTTGTGGAGATTAGACCACTCTTCCGTATCTCATTCCTACTGCGGTCAGTATATGATTCTTTTCCCTGACGGGGCTGATGGAAGACCCCAGCTGGTTACTCTGCAGTAGCAAGGGGACTCAGGAGCACATACTGACAGGGTTCAAAACTGTTCTAACCCAAGGCTGGTGGTGTCATGACAAAGTCTTGCTGGTCTTAACTGATACATTGGAGCGGGAGAGGCAGATAAAACTCTGCTTCCTGCTTTGTTCAGAAGGTAACCAAGCCAGGCACTTCCCACATCCCTAAACCCACCATATATTGGAAAGTCTTTGCACATGAAGGTTGATGTTGGACGGAAGCTGAAGTGCCATTGGAGGAGGGCTTTGAAGAATGACCGGAAAGCCTCAAAATATCAATCTCAAGTGCAGGACTGCAGAGACAAAGGATGACCAGCATGGCTGTTCCTTGTTAGGTCAGTTTCAGAGGCCTCCCTGCAGCTTCTGTTTGGCGAAGGGGAAGAGGGAAAGAAGCAGAGAGAGAGCCTCTTGCTGGATGGGGAGGAATAGGAGAGAAGCTGCAAGTCAGGAGCAGATGGGCAGTGGTCGAGCCACTAACTGGAGGAGTCGAAACAACCTATGAAAGTTGTGTACAGTCGTCTGAAGACATCTGCTTCTGACTAAGGGCTACAGTTACCTCATTATTAGAGCACCAGCTGGTGTATGCTACTATCACACTGGACATAAGACATTGAAGTGAAGAAGAAGTGTACTCCAGGGGTCAGTGCAAAGTGACATCCCTGCTGGGTGTAGTAACAGAGTTACACCTCACACTTCTGACACTCAACTATTATACCCCAAGGTGATGCTGGTTGCAGTCAGAGGTAAAGCACATAAAAACACATGTCCGACATCCTCCTTAATGGCTCCTAAAACCCAGATTTCTACCACAGGAGTGATAAGTGCCCTACTTTAGTAAACCCCACCAAAACAGGTTAAAACAAACTCCTATTTAAACTATTTGCTACACCCAGGTCTGTAACCCATGCCAGCAGGACCAGTTTGCCACTTGAGCGAGCCTGATGGGGTGGGTATTATATGATGGTTTTTGAGTGTGTGAATGCTGCACCCGTTGACTACTAAATCGACCTAAACACTTCATGACCCCACAAATTAAATCTTCGAGCTTCGACAACCTCCCACCGTCCACTCCTCTTCCCCTTTTCACCGAATCCTCTTCCCTCTCTTGTTCCAATTGGTTGGCTGCCCGACTGGGACTTCCCTCCCTCCCTGTGAGTGTGTCGCGTCGTCCAGTGACAGTCCTCCCATAAATAGGTACTCTACCCTCTCATGTGCTCTCGCTTTGCCAGATGTAAATGTTATACATCATTATTGTCTACCGTTGGTGTGGTTTTTGGGTTCAAACATGACAGAATATACAGCAGCCTTGTATATTCCTTTGTTGGTTGCATGTTTTGAGAATAACATGTCCTTGTGGCTGACGTGGTCGTGTTTTTTTTTTTTTTCTTTCAGTGTTCTCTTTCTTATTTAATCCCTCCTCTGTCTTTTTTTCCCGTCCTTCCCTCTCTCCCCTTCAATATGAATCTTTGTATTTGGCTTATCTGATGTGGGGCTTATCGTTCATCTATGTGCTGCTCTTGCTGTCTCCTCCATCTGTCACATCTACTGTACCAGCATGCAGTTTTTCTGATGGCGTGGAGAAAAACTTCACTTTATTGGAAACTCACGTCACCTAACACTACTGTTCCAGAAATGAAGAGCTGAAAAAATAATGCTGTAGGAGATCTTTTACTGGAGACGCAGACTATGCAACCCCACAGTCACTCAAATGTTTATTTTTCCAAAGCATCTGCTGCTTAAGGGAACTTTGATGTAGAGAGAACTCTTATATTATAACAGGACTTTTTTTTTAAAGAAACAAAGTAGGAACACTGAATGTTTTTTCTAAAAAAAAGGCTGGATTTAAAACCAAGGCTTCCGCAATCTGTTGTTGGTTCCATTTGGATGTTTTTCAGTGTAACTTCAATTTCTACAGTTGCAAATTTTGGAGAATGTACCTTATCAGGAGCTTTGTGGTGCCCTGGTTGCTGAGGCTTATCTTTATGAGCACAATGACTCTTTAAATAGCGCCCGGACCAAGAGTGTGTGTGTTTGTCTGGGGCTGTCCAGCGGAAGAGAGCCAACACTATTGTAAGCCTTTCTGAGTGCAAGAAGTGAGTGATATTTTTCTAGTTTGTAGAAAAAGAAAAGGCTGAGCGAAAGAGAACACACAAAGGGAAGGAAGTGATTAGGGCTAGGAAAAAAAGGGTGAATAAAGAGAGGAAGCGATAGGTGGAGAGGAAGGAAGAAGCCATGAGGGCTAGTCGTGGTGAAATAGAGGACAGAAAGAAATGGAGAGAGGGACTTTTAATATTTTCCCATAAAGCCTCATTAAACAATGTAGTGGAGAAAACAGGAACACCCTTAAAATTGCCACCAACTCCCACACAGACTCAAACCACAGAGAGAAAAAGGGGCTTAGCTGTGTATGGATTCAGTGTGTAGGTGTGTCGGTCACGCACTCAGAACTGAATGACCCACTCAGCATTCCAGCTAAAGTGTCTCCTAATGTTATTTTAGACCACTGCTGGCGTGTTGGATTTTGTAGCTATTGTGTGTTTGTGTGTGTTCTGATGCAGCTAAAAGAGGGAAAAATTAACACTGGTGATATGAGATTGAAATCGACAGGGCTTTTAAACGTGTGTATGGTCTGGTGGAGGTCGCATGGGTGTGACATTGTCTGCGACGTGAAGTTATTTTTGGCCAGTCTTCACTCACACATTTGGGTTTAGTGTTAAAATTAAAGGTAGATTTAGTGTTTGGTAAAAGTTTCTATGATCTAAATTAGGCTCTGAATTCAGTTTATTCAAGATATTACAGTACAAATATTTGCCTATGTCTCTGTACTGTGTGGGTTCACTGCACATACCCGCCAGTGTCTCTGCACGTGCAGAAACATCTGACTAGCAGCACGGTCCTCTCTCTCCTCAAGAAGCCTGTCCCATTGTGGCTGTAAGAGGCCGTCTGTCAGAATGCTGATGGTGAGTGAGCAGGCGTGTTTTGACAGCTGCTTCCTGGGGATGCTGTTATATCTTTCGTCAAGATTTTAGGTGTTTTTGGATACGTCTCCTACTCATTTTAAAGTGTGAGTGATTGCTAACTAGTTTACCTGCCCTCTAATGTACCTAAGCACATCACCATTCCTGACAGTTACAGGCTAACTGAGCACTGTTTATGGACCCAGTCTGTTGTTTTCCTCTGGATAGCCTTGTGGTCAAAGAGTCTGCAGACTTTCATTTAATATTACTCTAGCGGATTAAGCTGATCAGAAAGCCTTTAAGGAGACAGGGTCAGAATAAAATGTCACTTCTATTGACCAAGTGCTAAGACAGCAAATGCACAGCACACGACTCCTGAGCACAAAAAGGGAAAAATACCGGACATACATGCATTTAACATGGCCTGTTGTGTAAGGATGGTTGTAGTCTCCAAATGTCACTGAGATATTTGTGTTCTCTGGCTTCTGTTAAAGAAAGAGCTTGGAAACATATCATTATGCAATCTCCTTCAGATCTGAATTAGTTGTTTGTAGTTAGTTCTGTACTACATGGTGCCTGTGGTCAGCTTAAATTATATCACAACATAGCTTACACATTTTTATTTGGAATTTTTTGGCCTGCTTCAACCAGCACAGTTATATTCTTACTTTTACGCTATGACAGCTATACAGCTTTCACAGTAGTTACAGTGTACTGTTGGTGGTATCCATGACTAGAGAGATCTAATGGGGTTATAAAGTGACAGCATGTTTGAGATGTACTGTGGAGCCAGACCAGCATGTGCTTTGTAAAACAAGAGGAAGATTTTAAATTGTATTCTGAATGCAAGAGGTAGCAATGCAGATTATGGAGGATATGGTTTGATCTTTTTGTTCTGGTTAGAACGGCTGCTTATAAGAATAATATGTTTGCAAAAGGAAACCTCTAATTCTGGAAATGTTTCCGAATTGGAAGAAGAAATTATTAGCCTCTGCTTACCTTCAGATATTGTAAGTGCAATCATGCATACTCATCCCCACTACTCATCCACCTGAGTATCACCCTCTCTGGTGAGACTAGGTTAGTGCACAAGGTTATCTGGACTTGGACGAATCAAGTGAGTGGTGTAATCAACCCTCAGATCTTAAAATATATACTAGGATCAGGGTCAAGTAGATACTTAAGCAGAGTGAGTAAAGAAATCATATTTTTTTATTTTTCATTATATTTGTGATTGTATTAGTGCACAGCAGCAGCCACTTTTTAAGAAGCCATACAGCAGTGCTTTCAGAAGGGAGGTTGCATATTAAGCTCTTAGGGAACCTGGGAGGGATGTAGGAATGGTAGCATTTATGTTTTTAGTGTACATGTCTGCATCTGTGTGTTGGGGTTTATTTAGTTTATAGTAACAGGGTTAGAACAGCAGGGGTCCTCCCAATCTTTGTATTATTCATGGACTTGTTTAATACATTGAACTGCACAAGTGGGTGTGGTGTTTTGTGTGTTTCTGATTCAAGCTGCAGACAAAAAGCTAAATTGATGAGTAATCACACTCATTTTATTAGTATATAAACCAAATCAGCGAAGTGATCGCGTTGTAGCCATAGTGGAATCCCACCACAACACTCCACACACACATATTATCCTGCATTCATTATTCAGTGAATGAATTAGGGTAGGGAAGATTTAGTGTTTAATTGCTTTTCATTTGCATGCATCTGTTGTTGAGTGGGTTCTCTCATTTGTCTTCTAGTCCCAAACACAGAATGAAGGAAGGAAGGAAGGACAGAAAGGGAAAAGTAGGACATTTATAGAGCTGTGCTCAATGGAGTGCAACTCACTTTAAAAGGCCTCTAATAACCCCACTTTTAAAGCAAGGACATCTTTATCAAGGATACATAACACTTAAAATGCTATTAATTGAAAAACAGCTGTTAGTGTAGTGTTCCTTAAATTTCCTGTTCAGTTCTGTTGTTTTGATCGCGTGTTAGCTTATCCCTGTGGATAGCTAGCCAATTATAATATCACTGACATCATGTTGAGATATTTTCAGCATAGCTGAAAACAAGTTCAGTAGCAGGAACATTTTCTGACTATATGAATTATCAAACAGACAACATCTTGGTGTTAGCCTCTCAAGGATTCTCTCTGGACACGCATAGTTCAACAAACTTTTAGGCAGAAATATCCATAGTAGGAGAAGCAGAGATACCAACTTCTCTACTGATGATAGTCTCAGTAGACGAAAATGCAGTGCAGCCAGAAACAAGTAGATTTTTGAGAGAGAAACTCATTTTCCTTAGGCTGGAAATTACTCTTCTTCTTCCCTGCAGTTACTGTGCAATCGCTAGTATTACTGCTCTGTCCAACTTCTCGAACAGAATACAACTACTTCTCATCATGTTCTTTGGGATGCAGTGAAATGCACTCTGGGAGATGAAGGAAATTGTTGTTTAGGTACTAAAAAAAATCAGTTCAGATATATTAATTGATTTTTTTGGCCACTTGGGGGCAGCGGAACAAGCAAACACTTGCTTATTTTTACAGGAGCAACATAAACATTCAATTAAAGAACGGTTTCTGGCCACCTGATTGGAAAATAAGTCATATTTACTTTTCTTTTAGCTCTTTTAAGGTCGCCTCTAATATCTGTCTTTTAAGCTGCTAAATGCTCCACTTTGTTCACCAGCTTTAAAAGTTTCATGTGATAATTCTTTGTGGGTTTGTCACTGTGAAAACCGTTTTTACTTTAAACATAGTCATTGTGTCCATCGTTAACACAGATAAACCGATTAGTACATCTTAAAAGCACAAAATAACTGTTGCACTGAACAGATTGGTTTCAAAGAGTAAAACTGATAGTATGCCGTTAAACATCGGTCAGTAAGACTAGATGTGAGTTGGCTCTGCTTGAAATGGTTCTGCAACATCACAAATCACATTTTCTGTTCAGTACAGTACAGTACAATTCTTTTGATACATTGCATCTTTAAATCCTTTGAGGAAATAGTGCAGATGTGCTCTTGACTGTCACATACTGACAACAACGTATTAGATCACCTGAATAATAGTCTTTTTACTGCGCATACAAAGAAATATCCATCTTAAGTTTGAATATGCATGTCATGAGCTCAGCACTTAAATCACAGAGTACCATTACTTTGTCAGGGTGTGGAATCTAATCAGGTTTGCATTTCACGCTGCCTCTTTGCAGAACTACTTTTCCATGCCAGACCACTATGATTGATGTTACTTCCTTATTTTGCAAGTATACTGTAGAAAATACAGCAACATAACAACATAAATGAAAAGCTATTATACTGTTTACATTTGTAAACTGTCATTTGCTCTTTTGTTTTATTTGAGTAGGTTTGTAAGCTGTAATAGCAGGAAAAAACAAGTTTGTGAGGAGACTTTGGGGTTCTTTTGTCTGACATTCCCATTTTCTATTCTCCATTGTACTGAAGAATCTTTCCTCTCATTGGTCAAAACATGTGGCTTTGTTGGTCCTAACTGGCTGGCATTTTTGTCTTTGTATTTCTATTGTGTGGTTTCTTTCATTGGCTCTCTCTGTATTGGTCAGTGCTTGATGTTGTTTCTATTGTTGGACAGCATGATATCTCCCTGTCTCTCTGACCAAAGCTGAAGCTCAACGCACCGTCTCTCAGCTGATTTCTGTTTGTCTGACCACGCCACTGACCGAGCCTCCTCTCTCTTCCTATAGGCTAGCCACACTGGTATGCGCTCGTACATTTACAAGCAGAGCTCTGTGATTGGCTCGCAGGCGGAGCACAGTGGGATGCGGACGTATTACTTCAGCGCTGACACCCAGGAGGACATGAACACCTGGCTGAGGGCCATGAACCATGCCACACTGATGCAGAACCACTCTGACACTCTCATCAGGTACGGTTACAGACACATATACACACAGTGTATCTTGTTGAACCAACTGAACACACACCTTACAAGCATTCATTGACCTAACCAGGAAGCTGTAGCATACCAGCAACGTACTCACACAGAACACTGACCTATTTTATAAAAAGGCTCGAGATAAGTTCCAGATCATTACGTTTTCTTTTTCTGCTGACAAAACATTCATGTCTCCACCGTACGCCATGAGCTCCCCCTTGTGTCTGTTGCCAGTATTTTGCTTAAAGCGAAAGCTTCTGTCAGCTATTGTATTTTTATTAATATCTAAGGTTGATTAATGTCCCATCCCTAATTGGGATTACACTAAGAATCATTAGTGTACTTAACACACTTATAGGCCAACAGAAACATACACATATTCTGTAATTCTGTAAACATACTTTGATACTTTGTTAAACTTTATTGACTCAACAGCTAGTTCATGAACCTTTTACTGTTGTAAAATGTTTATATATATTTATTTATCTGTAATTAAACACAGTTTTTACTGTGTATGAAATTATTAATACTTGCAAGCACAGTCCATAAAAAAAAAATGTGCTAAGCGATTGTGTGAGATGACGTTAATACTTTAAATACTAAAGTCAATAATTTAAAGTAGGCGCTATAGCTGTTATATCCTATACACACATACTTCCTAGAAAGTATTGTCATTTGTTTGTCTCTTTTGTCACTGTAAATGACACTGATTCTCACTCTGCTTTACAGCTGTAACAGATCCATCAGTCCTGAAGCTATAGCATATGAGCATGGTGTTTTTTGGACGTATTTGCCTGCTTTCAAAGAGTACATTCTGATGTTGTGAAAATCTGTTTTTGAACAAGCAGCCGCTCCCTCATGTATTATTCATGTGTTGACGGGGGGAGGTGGCACAGATCAAATACGTCCCATCATTCAGTGGCAGCCTCAGACACACGCAGTTTATACTCTTTAGTTTTTATTTTTTGTTTTTGGCTGGGGAAATCCCACAAGACTACACTAGCTGTTAATGAGTGACAGAAGAGAAATGTAGCTGAAGACAGCTTCCACTTGGGCATTTTTTAAACCTATTTTTCACCCCTTGTTTTAGGATTTTCTTATTTGAAGAAACTATGACAGTAGCATTACTATTTGCTGAAAAGTTGCACTTCTTTTGAAAGAGTTTAGTTACTTGCTAGATACATTGCTAGCAAAGCTACTTTTAATATAAAATATAATGCCTTCTATGCGCCATTTAGCACAATCTAATGGGATAATACCTGTCATCATAGTGCTAAAGTATATTAAATATATTCAGATACCAGCTGCTGGCAGTGAGTTTGCCGGCACCTGAGGCTGTTTAACTCATTTAAAAGTAAACTTGTACGGTTCATTGAATTTCAGAGATCTGACTATTTCTCTAGCTTCTTCTCACACGGGATTTCATTCATGAGTTTAAATTCTGGTTGTGGTTACAAGGCTTTGCTTGTCATCTGCCCTGCTTTAAAATGGTCTGTGTGGTGTAGGTGTGGTTTAGCCCCGTCATTAAAGTTTGGGTTGAAGCTAAAAGTTTCTCTTTTATGTGACATTCATCTAGTTCTAATTCAGTTCAGCATGGAACAAGAACTAAGACTCCTGAAATGATGGAACACAGTGTCCATGGGATATCAGGGGAGGGATCAAATGAAACAGAATCGGTGCATATTAAGTGAAAGACACTGAAATCCATTGAGAAGTTTAAAAAAAAGTCAGGATAATTGCTATAGTTCATTACTAGTTCATTTATGGGGTAGGTTTATCCAAACATTCAAAGTAAGAGTTGTGTGGTAGACAGGAGAATAATCATAATCCTAAACCTGTCAATTGAAAAATATTGACATAAGCAAGTTGAACAGCCCGGATAACTTGCTGACCTCGCTACAAAAGCACACAGCAGGACAAAAAGAAAACACAATACATCAATTTAATCTTTCTGTTCTGAAACCAATTAATGATCTAAATAAATTTAAAGCAATCAAATCAAATAATGGTCATGATTATGGATCAAACACAAAGACTTTTGGAAGAAATTAATCTGTTAGTCCCATGAATGTCCATTACATCCATCACAGTTCAAATTAAGTTAATCTTTCTGTTTGTAAATTGTGTGTGTGCATATTAACTTTAAGGGGAAAACAGTTTGAATGTCCTTTTTAAATCAGAATGAATGTTGTTGTGTTCAGTTTGCGGCCAACATTTATCTGGGCTTTTTATGTCATCTCTACTCTCCGCAGACCATCTGACAAGTTAGAGAAGTTCAGTATTTTGCAGCAGAATGCTGTCCCGCAGATGAACCATGTAAACCACCATAAGACCAAGACCCCAGACTCTGAGACCACGAAACCCATCGTCCACGAGGTTCTCCTGGAGCCCATACACCGCGAGACAGACGAGCGCTGCAGCTTCCACAAAGAATCTCCTGCCACGACCATGTTGGAGCACGCCATTGGAAGTACAGCCCTGGAAATGGACACACACACTTCCCTCCCCTCCAACCCTGCACCCTCTGCCCTCCCACAGTCAGACAACGTGTCGGCCTCAGCACCCGTGTCCAGGGTTCCATCCCGGGCACCTTCACGAGCCGCCTCAACACTGCCCTCCAGCATTTGCACGAGAAACGGCCTCGTTTCCACGCCCAGCCCCATCCTGGAGCCCAATGGGATCGCTGCAGGGACGTACCAGAGGGCCCCAGTGGTGGCCCCTGCTGACACACACAAACATGTGCAGAGGAAGAGCACTCTGGAGCAAGTGGAGCAGTGGGTCCAAGTGCAGAAGGCTGAGCACAAAGGGTAGGTCACTTTCATAGATCTTATTTTGTGAAAATACAAATTATTATTTATTGTTTTATTGTATATAAATATTACAAATATACAATGTACTGTATAAGTACAGTGTAGAGTTCCTTCCAGTAACCTTTGCTTTCAGATTAAACATGATATGAACATACCAACCTGTCATGAACATATCAGGTCTGCACTGTGCAATATTTTATTCTTTAACTCGACTCAAATTGGAAAATATTGAGCTTGTAATTTTTACAAAATATCACAAATGATTTGCTAAGGGACTGAAAGCAATTTATAGCTAAGTTTAGCTCAGCTAAAGATATTAGATATTCTGTCTATTGGCTGTGAAAAAACATCATTTTTTGTCCTGCTGTTCCTACTCACAGCCCCCCATCCAGAGAGAATACTCTCCCTCGCCGCACACCACCAACCCAGCACAAGTTCACCTCCATGGACGCATACCAGACCTTGCCAAAGACTCCTCGCCAGAGCCCCACGCCTGCCCGACTTGGCGAGTACAAGTACGCCCAGGACCGCCTAAGCCACTTCCGCCTCACCCCTGAGCAGGGTGGCCAAGGGTCCAACACCGTCTGGCAGCTGTACGAGTGGCAGCAGCGCCACCAGTTCCGTCACGGCAGCCCCACAGCTCCACTCTACACTCCGGCCCCAGAGTACCCATTTGGCCCCCGCCCCCCATCCACTGTGCCTCCCTCCTCCTCAGCACCCAGGTCCGAAGGGCCGCCCCGCTGTGTGTCTGTACCACCTTCATCTGCAGACATCCCACCACCGGGGCCTCCACCCGGCACCAGCAGAACCCTGTCGCCCACGCGGAGGCCACACACGCCAGCTGAACGGGTGACAGTCAGGCCTGTGGGAGATAGTTCAGTGGTAGACATCCCCTTCTCTGTTTCCCCGCGTAGGACCAAATCTCAGCTGCTCAAGGTAAATATCATCTGGCACACGCAGAACAACAAAAAACTCAAATTTAAAATCAAGACTGCAATTGCAGTTTTTGGCATTATATTTATATTGTAGGCATTTAGCTCACACTAAGATCAGAACAGTCAACCCAAATTCTGACAGTAGCTCCACAGCACTGAATCAACTGATAAATATTAAAGTGTACCCAGAATATGTAACAAAATAATAATAAATAACAAAAAAGAAAAAGTGACAGTAGAAAGGCTGTGATGTATGAAGGATAGGTACTGTAATGGTAGCTTGTATAGATATTATTGATAAGACACATTAGATTGAATGTCATGTGGTTGACAACAGATTATTTTCTGTTGTCACTGCATTCTGTTGCATTGATTTTATCACACTGTTTACCTATTGTTTGTGTTCTCCTAAAGATTAAGACCATTAATGTTTTTTTTTCCACTGTCAAGTGCAAAATATGAAATAGAATAGTTTGTCATCCAGAACAATGTCACTCATTCTGCAGGGCGGATGTTGGAACTATGCTCCACTGAACAGAATAATTGTTTTAGTGCCTTGGGGTACAATGGCAGACATATCCTTAAGGCATTTAGTCTGTTATATTACCTCAACTGTATCAGTCAAGAAACTGTTAACTGTAGAGATACTACATTGAATAATTTATACATGTATATTCACACACACAAACACACACATATGTGTATGTATATTTGTCACGGTTATGCAAACTTAGACTTTGATTGAAAAAACACAAATATGCTAATTTACAATGACTCCCCCACATCCACCAGCAACCTAATTTTGCCCATAGATAACAAACAATACAGTATTTTGTTATCAATGTCATGTAGCCTCTAAAACAAGAATTGTAGCCTTTGGTGATATGAAAATGTTATGTTGAGATAGCAGATTGTTCATTATTCAGATTATTCTGTGTGGTTGGGTCGTCTTTATTCTGTGAATGATTTAACACACATAGTCTGCAATTAGATTTTTATTTTTTATATACATAATGTGTTTATTTCTATGTGTTGTCAGGCTGCTACTATTGAGAGACGGTCAATGCCTCCATCTGGTTACATCACACACACAGTCAGTGCACCCAGCCTACATGGCAAAACGGTATGTCTTACAAATAAAAGCCTAAAATATAATATATGTTAACCACATATTTAATTATACTATTTTGAGCACTTGAAGGCTTAAGAGGGCTGTATTGGAAGTGATGTGTAATTCTGTCTCGTGGTCTGCTTACAGAGTCCAGTAATATATCTTCTAATGTGTTCACACTGCCAGACACTCAATTAATCAGTCACCAGAAGAATATTCATTCTCCACTACAACTAAATTTTAACAGATATTTATCAAATCTTGATTAGCCTCGAGTCAGCACGAGCCAGTTGGCTGTAGCTGAACATTTGGGAGACATTGCTTATCATGTACAGTGTGTTGCTCTGAGTCCTGCCTTTGTTTCAACACTGTTAATCCTCCTGAATTTAGGTGGTTTTGCGAGTTCAATTTGTTGCCCAAAAAAACTGGCTCCTAGCGCTGTGAAAGCAAGGTTACCTTTTTAAAACAATAGAATTCACTGAAGTTTGGTGTGGTTAGTTTTGATGCCAGATTTAATGTCCTGTGGTACCTGACAGCCCGAGGAGCTCACCCTGTTCCTCATTCAGCTGCGCCGGCATCAGGCCAAGATGGCCTCTGCACGTCAGCACACGTTAGCCCAGCTCCAGAGGCTCAACGGTCCCAAAGAGCCCTACCACCACAACCAACTTCTCACTACTACCACCACTAGCAACAGCCCCCTTCTCAGCTCCGTCCCTTCTCCTGTGTCCCACCTCGGACATGTGGGACTCTCAGCTCCCCTGAGCCCTTTCAGCACCCAGGTGGGGGTTCCCCCGCGACACACCTGCCTGCCCACCCGTCATTTTACCATGGGCTGGTAGAGGTTGCCACTAAACATATTGCAGGGCTGCATTACACTTAAATCATTTCCACCATAGTTATTTTCTTTTTGTTTATTTCACAAATAGAATAATTTGTACTTTGACTTTTCAACATTTTCTTATTGACAATATTTTTGTCCATTATTCGTGGATCTTTAGATGGCTCGGTTGGTCAGTTTGTCTGTCTGTCAATCTGTTTGTCAACACTTCAGCGTCCAGAGTGAAATATCTCAGCAAGCCTTCCATGGAAAGACCTTCCTTGTTCCCAGACGATGGATTCTAATTATTTTTAGCATACCCTCAAAGTTATAATTTGTCCAACAGTTAGATTGTTTAAACAAGCTATTTCTGGATTTACATTAAATTTGATGTGAGTAATCTTAGTCCTCAGAGCTTTAGTAATCTCAATAACCTCCTGTCACTCCCTTTAGTGCTGTCACTAGGTCAGGCTGTCAATTACAGAAGATATTTGAAAATATTCTGTATGCGACTTGTTTGTACTACCCCAATCATCCAGCACTTGGTGTCTGAGTGCTGGATGATCCATCCATCCATTATCGTCCGCTTATCCAGGGTGGGGTCGTGGTGGCATGTCAGCATGTCAACCAAGGCGCTGGATGATTGGGATCCCAAATTAACAACACATCAAAATTCATGCACACAAACAGCCATATTTACTGCCAAATACCACAAAAAAAGATATTATTAGCTTTAAATTCAATGCTGATCTGACATACCTGTTATACCTTAAAATCACCCTGTATGGTATTCTAAACATTCTTTCAATCCACTAGTTTTCACTGTAATTGTCTCATTTTTCATACTTTTTCATTAACATTTCACCACTAAGATGTTTTAATCAGGCACATAAAAAACACAAATTCACTGTAATACTTCCTATTGAGCAGACTTATCAAACAAATGTTTCATAACATGGCAGTCATATTCACTAATACTGACATCCTTTCCATCTACATCTAGACACACCAGTTGTTCCTGAACTTGGTAATTCCCAACTGTGAATCTATGTTGAAATGTAAAATAATAAATAAAAAGACAAACCAAAACACAAAAGTTAAAACACCAGCAGCATCAATCGCCAAGCCTCAGTATATCAGTGGCAACCTCTACCCAACAGCTCCCGTGCTCTAGTGGTGTGACATCGGGCATGGTTAATCTGTGAGCGTTGGCCTGGCTGCCATCATAGAACCATCCGCCTCTTTTTCCATGTGCTGTTCTTGGCTGGTCAGTTTCCATATTGTGCTTCTAGTGATACTGTCCATAGCATGTTGTGCTGCTAACTTTTCAAAGTCCACAAAGCCATCCCATGCTTTGGCTAACCAGCTGGCTGTGGATGTGTTTGGTCAGTTTGGTCTTTGGTCTGATTCGTAAATCTTTCGTTTTCGGAAGTCTGTTTTTTTGTTGAGTGATGTGAACAGAATTAAATCAGAATTCATCGATGTTTCAAGATGTGCCGCTTCTAATGGATCTGGTTTGTGCTCATGTTTTGTTTGTTGCAGTAGGAGCACCTAAGCCTCTCTAAGAAGATAAAGGAATTTGTTTTTACTGTTGTGTGTGTGTGTGTGTGTGTGTGTGTGTGTGTGTCGGTTGTGATGCATGTTGGCACAGACACACAGCAGCAGTTCCTACTTCATACTCGACACACAAATGTCACTACTAGATGTATTGCCAGTGAAGCTTATTTAGATGCAGATGATGATGTTGAATTATTAAATTCCTGTTGACACAAATCAATAATCCACACTCACATGTTTGTCACCTTCTAGGCTGATGACACCTACATGCAGCTGAAGAAGGACTTGGAGTATCTGGATCTAAAGGTGAGATATGGAGATGGACAGAGTTTATCCCCCGATCTCTGTTAGTTATTTTAACTGAACTTCTGCTAGTGTTTGAAATCTCCTGTGCCTTTTCTGATTTGAAATAGCTCAAACTAACACACTTGGTGTTTCCTATTAACAGTCACTTGTAACACTCTACCCATGTTGAACTGTTGAACTGTTGAACCGAGACATCAGCGGTTCACAGCTACGAATAAAGATGTTTAGGAATCCATGTGAGACAAAATATCGGCAGTAGAATTTGACATCTTGTGTGGTTTTAGAAGCATCTCACAAAAGCAGCCGCCATTTTGTGACTGCGGCTCTGTGTCTTTGTGATTTTGACTCCCAGATCAGAGCTCTAGAGCCCCTGATCCTCGCAGTTCACAGTTTACTACTGCACTGCACTGCTGGGCCTCTCAGGCCTCTAATGAACGTAAGCTGTATGTGTATGTGTGCGTGTGTGTGTTTCTGTATCCAGTAAATGTACACCACAAAGAGATATAATATATGTAGTGTGACTGTGATGGTGTAGTTGTGAGTGGGCATTTATGCTTGTGCATGTTGCAGTGTTCGGAGTAGGGATGCATGTGTATAGTATGTTAGTGTGTGTGTGTGTGTGTTCAGATGTGTAGAGAGTCTTTGTTTTAGAAAGACCATCCCATTGCTTACAGCACCGCGTTCATGGCTTGAATGGCATCAAATGTCTTATCCCCCCCCCATGTGGTGATGTTGACGATGCTGTTGAAAAGTGGGCATGGGATGGCTCGGCAGTGCATGTGTTGTGGCTGTGGCCCGGTGGTTGAAAAGCCAGCTGCTTCTACCATCATCTCTGAAACGCTGCACCTCCTTGAGAATAACACAAGGCTCTACTGTGTCATATTTCTCAAAAAGGAGCACATATACTCCTAAACCTAAATTTTTCAAGAACAAGAAAGAGCTGTTATCAGTGAAATTCGTTGATTTTCTCTTAGTTAAATTTGCTCACATGCTCTATTTTAACGTTTTTTTTAAACTAGAAAGGAGTTTTCTTAGGAGGTTATTTTAGCACTAATACAACCCTGTCACTAACCCCAGTACAACTCAAAGTGAGCACCTGAACTCAAGCAGTCCAGGATGTGTTCCTAAAACAAGTATTTTCCTGTTCACAAACAAATACTGCAACTTTTCTGTATGTTTTTGGGACATCATGTACAGAGGTTTTATGGATAAGTCCATTTGTGCAGGGCTTCAAAGTGTCCATAGCCATTGTGTTCTTTGTGGCAAGAGCTGATTTTGTGTTCCAAAACTCACTCATATTGTCATGTACACAAAGCAAAGAGAATGTGTCACAGATAGTCTGTCTCAGCCTTTTAATACTGTAGTTTGTAATTGGTCTCTGTGTCCTGTATCTAGTTTCTTTCAGCACTGTTATACCATGGTTCAGACACTTCATTTTGCTGTACAACTAACATTTGGAAATTTTTATTTTGCAATTTCTAGGTAGTTGGAAGTCAGACACTGAAGGAGTCAGGGAAACCTGTCAAGGTTGCAGAAAGTGATGTGGATGTAAGTACAAGCTTAATGGCTTCCTAAAATGTTGGCTGCATTAAATACGGACCAGGTGTTAATGTTTTTTGGTAGTTTCTCATCATATATTGCACTTACTGCATGAAAAACTCAACTGTATCCAATGATTTTCTATTACTGTATGTAGGTTGATGTAAATACATATTCACATTCAGTTTAAGCAAATGTATGGATTGTTCAAACCTTCTACAATGGAACATGAAATATTTGTTTATGGTAGGGCCACTGACTGTCGTGGTTCAATTGGGAGAAAAGTGACGGTTATAAAGGCAAAATATAAAATTTGTGGAAAAAGTGTGGGAGGACGTGATACACTATTGTTCTTTGCTTCAGGGGTCAAACAGAATGTAGAGTTTTAATACGTAAATGCTTTCAGTTTGACAATCCAAACAATCCCCTGCGGTTTTTCAAACAGGTTTATATCTCCTATTAAAGTATTTCTCAGTATAAGCTTCTTACACAACTGTTTAAACAATTTATGAACACATTGTCTATGATGAATATTTGATTAGATCCAACAACAACATCACCGTGGAGACAACAACAGGATTAATAATTTATTTAATGGAATACAGAAACTAGTGTTGAGTGTAAAAATGTATATGAATAAGCACTTTGTTCACATGCTGCGGTTCAACCACAACCTTATTACATAATTGTTATGTTGTTGTTTTACCTCAGGATGATAAAGTGATCCAACCTTTGCCTTGAAGTTTAAGTGCAGAGTTTAATCTGGGATTAATTAACAAGGCTCAAAGTCTCCCTGACACTGTAATTAAAAGTGTCAGGTGGGTCGCACCCACTTTGTGTAATGGGCTCACTCACAGTAATTACATCTGATTGAGACCACAGGAGCTACGGGACTGTGAATATTAAGTGTTACCAAACTGCATGCATGCACTCAGACATTTATAAAGAGATATGTATACATACACATAAACACATCACTACACATACTCAGAAACACATGTTTTTTGTTCACTGTACTAATTTACCTACAGCTGCAAAAACAAAGGGAAGTTGTAATTAAGTAAATGGGCCACTTAATTACCAGAGGTCAACACACAGACACGCTTTGGTGAGCACTAGAGAAGTGCTTTGTCTGTGAGAGTGTCGGTTCCTACAATGCCCCATCTCTCTCTCCCTGCCCACTCAGCTCTGTGTCTCCCCCTGCAGGTGAAGTTAAGTCGGCTGTGTGAGCAGGACAAGATCCTCAAGGATCTGGAGGCGAGGATCAGCTCCCTGAAGGAGGACAAGGTACACGCTCTGTTAGTTATGTAGCTCTACGGGCTGACTTCAGTCAGTCTGATGAGTCAACCGGAACAATGATAGTTAAAATAAATACTGCAATGATTGTGCTACATCCAAGGACAAAGTTGACTCTGCAGCTATGAACTGATAACAGACGGTGATTCAGCTATCAAAGAGAGGACACAGAGCAGTACATATCAGATTTCATTTCTAGTTTCAACATTCACGGTCACAGAGGAAATTCTATTGAAGGAGAGGTGGGGTTATTGATTTCTCTGACTCTCGATTTCCTGTCTGTCCAAAACACAATGTTCAACGTTCTTGAAAGGATACAGAACACATAAAGAGTAGAATTACAATATGGTATACACTATAAGGTCTAGAATGAAAGCCTGATTACATACAGCTCAGATGGTAAGTAAGAGGTGGTTAAACGAGATCTCATGGTGGTTCATGATTGACTGTAGAGACATACTGCCCTCTGGAGGATTTTTTGTAAGAGTGTTATCTACTGAACAATGTTCAGTGCACAGTTTTAGAACAAAATTCTATAAAGGAAGTAGGTCTTAGTTTTTGCTTGACCTCCTGCTCACCCCCTCAGGACAAGCTGGAGAGTGTACTGGATCTGTCCCACCAGCAGATGGAGCAGTACCAGGAGCAGCCGACCCACGCCCACAAGATCGCCTACCAGCAGAGGCTGCTGCAGGAAGATCTGGTCACCATCAGGGCGCAAATATCACGCCTCTCCACGGTATGTCTGCCTGTGTACGTGTGTGTCTAAGAGACAGAAAATATACTGTATATATATTTAGGAGAAATATGGTTGGATAGCATAGGAAAGGATATTTTTCTAAAATCTGTGTATGTATGCAGTCTATACATCACACAATGGCAAATGTATGCACTTAGTATATATAAGACTGCATATATGGGTATATGTTTCAAGGCATCTGTGTGTTTATCTGCATGTGTCACCTTTTTTAATTGAACATGAGGAAGATAATAAAGTTATGTACACAAACTCATTTGAACATAGCAGCAGAAAATATAGGTAACTTATTCTGAAAAACAAACAATAGCAAAAACAAACAATGTTTCGTCTTTTCTGTTAATTTTTTCCATAGATTTCAGTGAATTATAGTAGCTGGCAAAATTGCATATGCACACGAAGAAAGAGGGAGTACTGCCTTTCTATTTACAACTGTGAATATGATATTTACCCCAAATAATGACAAGATTAACAGTATCTGAAATGTTTGCATCCAAGTTATCCACAAGGAAGTTATGTTATCCATTTTTAAGGATATCCATAATTAATAGGTGTATGAACAATTAAAAAACTAGATGGTCAATGGTTTCAGCCTGCAGGTGCAGTATGTGTCTCTGAGAAAGTGTGTTTGGGTATTTCCACTGATGCCTGTAATTAAGTTTGTGTAAACATACAAAGAAACTTTATTAGGACACATTGGTTTTTATATAGGTACCTTGCACTGTGGACATAAAACTTTCTGTGTTTGTGTAATGCAGGAGATGGCACATGCCTGGGAGGAGTACAGCTGTCTGGAGAGATCAGTGGAGCAGTTGAGGACAGCACTGCAGACACATATGAACCACAGCGCCACCCCTCAGGTGAGACCTGGTACTGCAGCACAGAGCAGTTTCACCTCAAAACTGCCAACTTTGGTTTCTCAGTTAAAGCATCAACTTTTTATAGGCTGGGATTTCTATACAATATCTGCAGCTTGTGAACAGTCTGTATTTTGTCTGTGCTCAAGTTTTCCAGACAGTTTTAAATCTTACATTTCCCACATCCTTTTTTTCTAATATCTTTTTCTCTATCATGAGTTCATTGATAGAACAACACAGTTATTTAAAACTATTTACATGCCCAATTTATAAATGTTCAAATCTATAACACTGAAAACCAAGTTTAACAAAACTACAACTGAACAGTACAAATGACAGAAGAGTCAAATGTGTATGTGTCTTTGCATCCATGTGTTAAACTGTAGCAAGAGAAAAGTGAGATGAAGCGTGAGCTGTGGAGGATTGAGGACGTGATGGCTGGGTTGAGTGCCAGCAAAGCCAACTACAAGATCACCATTGACTCTGTCCAGAACCCAGGTTGGTAAATCTGAATGAGAAATCTGCCTTTGATTTGTCTGCAGCCTATGACAAAATGTTAATGAATGCGTTGTAAAAACACTCTTTCCACCTTTTTCAATTACCAGAGCAGTTACACACAGACTGAATATATAGGCTATTAGAGATACTAGAGATTTTTGATATTGTCCACATATTATATTATTATCACTTAACAGTGTTAACACCCATTCCTGACTGTAAATCCATTTCAAACCTGCTTACATTTAAATGTTAAACCTTGATCTCTGTGTGCTCACACATCCCACCAGAGAGGAAATTAGTGCCTTCTGTGTCAGACCCGGCAGTGCCTTCTCAAGTCCAGCCTCCTCCTCGCAGCTCCATCCCCAGCATCTTCTCCCACACTTTGCCTCACAGCACCATGCCAAAGTGGGTGAGTGTCTCCCTTCTGCTTTGAAATGCTGCATGGCGGAGTTGACTTAATTTTAAGCTTCAGGAATTATTGCTGGAATGTGTTTAGGAGTTCTACAGCCACCTACAGTCATCAGCGATACAGCAGTACTTAAGGTACTTCTAAAATACTAAATCCTTTTCTGCCTGGTTACTGTCCAGGCAGAGGATGCAGCCCCACCCAGGCCACCACTGCCTCGCCTCTACGACTACGAGGAGACGCCCCCTGTGGTACCACCTCTCCCAAAAGAAGCCTCGGTCATCCGGCACACGTCTGTGCGTGGGCTCAAACGCCAGTCAGATGAGAGGAAGAGGGACAGGGAGAGCGTGCAGTATGTCGTCAACGGAGACTGTAAGGTATGCTGTCAATTAGTAACACAGAAAATCCATCTCCCTACTACTGTCTTTTTGGAATAAAGCCTTGTAAAAGTAGTTTTGGTGATTTGATGTCTAATTTAGTCAACTTTTTCTTCTTTCAGACTGACTTGCGATCATACCTGAGTGAACCAGAGCTGCCAGGAATAATCCACCACAGCGCCGGGTCTGACATTGACTACCAGTATTTCCAGACCAAAGGTATCTGAACAGTAACATGTAGAATACATACATCCCTTCATTGGACACATTTTTTATGGACTGTGATTTCCCAGCATAAAATGCATACCAGCTATCATCCAATCTTACTGCATTTTTGTATATACTTCAAAAAAAAAAAAGCAAACTTTGTTATGAAGGATAGAAATATGAGGAAAAAAATATATTGAACAAGCTTTAATTAAATTAAAACTTTGAATGTGCATTGAGATGTGTATTTGTGTTCAGGAATACACATATTTTCATTAAAAATCCAATTTCTTCAGACTAGAGATTTCATCAGTTAAAACATGAAAAAAAATTAGTATTTGTCTTGCTAAGAAATGATCAGTAATAGAATTTGTCACCCAAACGGATGGATCACCAGCTGGAATGTTAAAAGAAATTCTTTTAAATCCTGAGACATAGTTTGTAAATACATTAATGTTTAGTAAGTAAGTTAAGGCATTTATATTTCCAGTGTTGGAAGGCCTTACATAATTCACTCCTCATACAGAATGGTGAGCAGGTTTTCTAACCTAACCTTTCCATTCTGTCACCGTGTTTTCATTGTATGACCTTACTGCTTGTTTTGCTTTGCAAAAGAAACTAAAGCAACCTGTGCTGATTCTTGTCCTGTTCAATCAACTAGGTCTGTTAGGCCCCTCATCTCGACAGAACCAGTCCACCTCTATCTCGTCGTATGTCACCCTGAGGAGAGGCCCCAGAAGCTCCGCAGCTGGGGTGAGTCAAGATGTCAGGGGTGGAGGTATCTGCAGATACCTGTGATCTGCTGGAGAAATTCCATTTTGTTGTAAATTATGTTTTAATTATGTTTAATTGGAAGTAGGGTTGAGAGTGAGATATTCTGAATAACATACATACGAGCAACAACTTCCTCATGTGTTGTACACAATACCTAATCATACAATTATAAATGTCTGTTTAGAATGCATTTATTAAACTGTATGAGTCATCTATTCATATACAGTACATAGTTTTAGTATATGCAATACAAACATTAGGTAATGTGATGTTTTAATGTCATTTAACATTTAATTATTTAATAATTGATATTTTCCATTTCTCTTGTCACTTTGTTTACACTTCTCTTCCACTACACTATTTCACTGTCCATATCCCTCTTTATCCCATATTTAAATCTTTCCATTTTTGTTCTGTTGTTCGCCACTAACCATCCTTCACCTCCCTGTTCCAATTCTCCCTGTATCTTTCCACCTTCTTTGTCTCAGCAGGAGAGACCCAAGAGTGCCTTGGAACGTCTGTCATCGCCTACAGAAGCCCTGCAGCTCCCGAGCAGCCAGCCTCGTGGCCGAATGACTGCAGAGGAGCAGCTGGAGCGGATGAAGCGCCACCAGAAGGCGCTAGTTCGCGAGCGCAAGAGGAACCTCAGCCAGGGTGAACGCTCCTCCACCTCCACTGTCACCACCCAGCGCTCCTCCTCCTCCTCCAGGCTGCCGTCCAACACCTCGGATCCTTCGGCCTCCGTACGTTACCCCCCACTGCCGCGCAGCAGCAGCAGCAGACACAGGGAGCACCACCTTCACCACCACTGCTGCTATGCCACCCTCCAGCCCCCAGCCACATAATAACCCAGCAGGAATGCTAACATGCTAGTACTTTCTGCCTTGTGTAACCAGTGGTTGTTGACGTTAGCTGTAAGCACTAACAAGCTAAAGGGCAGGACTGACTGTGGCTGACTAGCTAGCTTGGTTAATGCTTTAAGAACAATGGGAGACAAAATGAGCACAGGGGATCGTGGGGAATGCTTGGCTAGTTCTGGACAGGGACAGTGTCCCTCCCTGTTTATTTTATTTTTTTAAAGGTTTAGGGGTCACTTTAACCCCTTTGTTACCACTGCCCACTGGTGGGACCTCACTGACACAATTCTGAATGTAAATCCATTGAGAAAAGAAGGAAATGGAAGGCATCACTCTGCCTTCCTTTCTGTGTTTTTTCACCAGAAAGTACAGAGAAGAGCCCATTTATGTATATCTACATACTGTGTACTTGTACACTTTTATTTATTTACTGAGGGATATTTTCAGTATACAGTTGTACAGTTATATTTTGTAGAGATTTGGTATATAGAGCTTATAGAAGGGTGGGGGAAATGGGGTTGGGAAAAGTATTCAGGTTGATGAAATGAAGAAAGAGACAATGTTAGTGGCAAAAATCATGATCACCTCCCTTCTTTCTTTTCTTCTAATGAAGTCCGAGTGCCTTGTTTTGCTGACGATCATTTTTGCCTTTGTCCCAAATTTACCTCCTTTAATCAACATTTGAATTAATAATGATTTGTTTCGAACATGCTTCTCCACCTCAGAATCATAGAAAGGAATGCAGGAGCTAGCTTTAAGGTTGCTTTTCTGTGTAATCACGAATTTCATTCAGGAAGACGTGGAACTGGGGACACAGCTGGTTTTAACCCCCAAAGGAAAACTTTGACATTTGACATTTTAACTAAATCTAGCTTACTCCTTGGCTTTAGTGAGGAATGCTAACAATGCTAACATGCCTGGGTGAAAAACGTAATACAGTAAAATTCAAAATGTCAAAGTCTTCCATTAAGATAACATGATCTATAATAACTACCCGTTTGGTATTATGATTACAGACTAACACACTCGTAACCAGACTGCTGTGAGATACGCCTGTAATCAGACTACATTTCCTATAAATCTTTGAAATCACATTTTTAACAGTGAGCAATACATAGTCTGTAATCCTCTGCTACTACTTCTCACCTTTTTAGTGCATATAACCATAAATGCCAGAACATATTTTATTTTATCTACTCCACCAGCATAAAACGTGTTTACACCATTTTATATTTGAATTAACGTCCTCATTAATGCAGCCTTTTTCTTGTACAGACTACAAGGATATTTTTATTGTGAAAGTTTTATCGAAAGTGGCTGACAGTTTCATTGCCACGATTAAAGTTGGGAAGAGAATTTGTACTCATATCTGAGTACTTTTAAGTGGCCTATGCTGTGCTGATTTATGCATCATAAATATACAGGACAGTTCAAGCAACTGGGCTGAAATGCAATAGAAAAATAGAAGTGTGAACAAGGAGCGGACACCTTTGTCATGGGAAATCTGTGATGAAAGGAACAGTGACAATATTTGAAAGTGTGTTAAAAAGATGTAGGGTGATGATTTTCTGTCAACGTGTCATCTTTTGGCTAACAGTTTCTGAGTTACCAAGATGAGGTCTTTGAAATTGTTTCAGACCAATAGTTCCAACCTAGAGATTTACAATGATATAAAACAGAAAAGCAGATAAAATATCTGTTGGGCAGTTTTTGTTTGACAATTGAAACAATAACTAAGCTATTGATTTACTTACTGTTGACAAATTAAACAATCTTTGCAGCCCTACACATGTAGAAGATACTTCTATTAATGTGGTAGTCATACTCAACATACAGTTTTGGATCACCATGGCGCTGCTGTCGGCTCCTTGTTTTTCTGACGAGTATTAATCTTGAAGCTTTTTTGCCATATCGCTTTTATCCCTTCACAGCTACGTACAATATATCAGATCAAAGAGAAAACAGTTACAGGAGGTTGCTCAGAAGAGTAGAAATATAGTAGTGAACTGCTAATCAACACTTAATTCTATGTAATTGTGAAGCAACGCATAACTCTCTTACCTTTTCTTTTCTATCATGTAGAGATTTGCACTCGACAATAAAGAGTTTCTTGCTTCTGAAACTCCTCTTGGCTGTGTTCTTCCTAATCTTGTGGGTGTTTGATGAATCTGTGTCTGCATGGTGTTCTTTCTCTCTATCCTTTTGTGTGCAATTGATTCTCCTGAGCACAACAAGGCATGGGATGCAGTGTTTCTAAGAGCATGTGAACACACCAGCAGATCACACCCGCTGCAGGCTACTGGAGTGGGAAGGATGCATGCATGGCTTTGATGCTCCTTGGATGATTACTCACAAGTACCCCACACACACACACACACACACACACACAGATAAGAGAATAAGAACCAGAGTATTTTTTTAAAGATGCAAATGTGCTGGAGTACAGAGGAGTAAAGGATGTGGTATGTGTATAATTGGAGCTTCCAGAAACACAGACTAATCATCTGCCTGGGTCTGCTCTGTGGTAATGATACTAAACATCATCCTTTCAGATCCCTGGATCTCGCTATAAGTATTCCTGGTTACATTCCCCTTCAACCTTTAGGCACGACTCACTGCAGAAACATTAAATAACCCTTTCTGTTATTTATGTCGCATTTTTGTACACCATTATACACCAGATCTTAAATCGGTGAGACCATGGTGGAGACCCCCCCCTCCCCCTTAATTTTACCACAGTGCTACTGTCAAAGCTAGTTTAATTATTTCCCCATAACCCCCCCCCTTGTCCTTGCCTTTTCTTGCACTTTATTGAAGTATAATAGTATAAACATGTTGTAAGTCAGTTTTATCAACCTTGACTGATCTATAGAAATACCAGGGCTGCAACTAGGGCTGGTTTTCATCAGTTTTCTGTAGATTATTTACTTAATTTATCTTTTGCTCTGAAAGTAGTAAAAATGCCCAAGATGACTTCAAGTTGCTTTTTTTTCTGATCCCCAGTCCAAAACCCAAAGATATTCAATTTTCTATCACTGAAGATGAGGACAGCCAGCAAATATTCAAATTTTATAAGCTGAAGCAGTAAATTCTTGATAAATTGATAAATAGTAATAATAATTAACTGATTAATCAACTAATAGTTTCCAATCTAAAAACGCCTGTAGCGTCATACTCTAAAGGCTTTAATCCTTATGTGTAAATCTGATGTTGACAATTGGTACACCAGTGTCTAGCTAATGTTTTACATTTACACTACACACTATTGTCTTCATAAAAATCTAAGTTTCTGGCAATAATATCAAAACAATTCCAATCAATATTCTATTAATATATCCTTCCAAAAATCCAAAACCTTTCAAACTTACGCCTAGAAACACTGAGATTTTATGATTAATTTATATTTATTTAAAGAATCAAATCTAAAAATTATATTGGCCAGGCTAACTGTGTAATCCTGACTCCTGCCCTTTCTAGGTGTTTGATTGGCAGGAGGAGCGACTTGGGGCAGAGGGTCAGAGCGATGAAGGGAAGCATCAAGTGAAAGAGCGAGGGAGGATCCAATCAGATGAGTGGGTGACGGCGACAGCCACGCGCATACGAGAGGTGGATGTAGAGCCTGTCGACTATGATCTGGATATCAGCCGAGAGGTAGACACACACATCTGCTTGGCCTCTGTCGCGGTCATGAGAAATACAAGTGGCATGGTAATAAGACTAATGCTCCACTGTTCTGATCCATCGCGTTCACGGTTCTTCTCTCAGTTAATCTTGGACACAATCCATGATCTTGCATGGCGTAGATGTGCTCTGTTGTCTCTACTTCAGTCTTATTTTACGCAATCCTTAAAGGATGTAAATAATATTTAGTCACTCTTTTACCCTAAGTAATTTCTGCTGAATGTTATGTTTTATCTATTTCCATCATGAGATTTACAGAACATTAAAGAGACAGTCAGGCTGAAGAGGAACACTATAACCCTCAGGTCATCTGTCTGTAACACAGGAAGAAAGGATTGCATTCTTTAACAATCTTTTTTCATTTCATTTTTTAAATGGAATGCCCAAAACTTTGTACTCAATTTGGTATAAAAGCATCCACATTTCAATTTTATATACTTTATTTAGTCATTTTTATAATATAAATATCTTCATACAGCATCATTGAAATATATTTGAAACCCATTAAAAGCATAATTTTTTTTAAATACATATTGTAAGACTGTAAGACTGACTTCCTCTCTATCTATCCAACATGCAGCTTTCAAAACCACAGAAAGTTCCCATCCCAGAGCGCTACATAGAGTCTGACTCTGAGGAGCCTCTCAGTCCAGAGGAGCTGGAGGAACGTTTCCGCCGGACCGAGCGCATCAAGAACCTCCTGACCAAATCCAGGTAGACAGCATTCAAATAATGACACTGGAGTTGAGTTGATACTGTTGTTTTTGGTGCTTTTCTTTACTACTAGGACTGTGTGCTCTAATACAAATACACTGATATATAAATATAGTAGAGCTCAAAATGTCAGTGTAAGATCCACTGGTTTATAGTCCTAAGTGTTTGTGTCCTTTGAACAGTGTTCAGAACATACAGCCGTCTGCATCACTAGACTTCAGTGAACTGGACTCAGCTCTACAGCAGCAGGAGAGGATCATGAGCGTGTCCCATGCACTGGCCTCCGAGGCCTCGCGCAAGAGCAAACTGGTCGCAGGTTAGTGTACTCACACCTTGTTAACATAATGCATCACTTTGTTGAGCTATCCTGTAAACCTCATATCATTTATCACAAATAAAGAAGTACAAACACACACACACACACACAGACACACACACACACACACAGGAATTCTTATAATTATTCACTTGCCTCTGTGGTACAGTGGTGTAAATGTAGCAGGAATCCTCTTAGACTGCTATCTCAGACACGTGATTTGTCGTTGTCCCTGGTGTGCAGGGACTGAGTGGCTGGAGAGTCAGTAAGTATGTCTGGTCCAGGTATACCTACCCTTTCCCTTTTGGGTGGTGTGGATTCATTGTATTCATTGTGTTGTGTGTCTCAGTCATTGGTCTCAGTATATGCTGTTTGGTTTTGGCCAGGATTGTGCACAGATTGGTGGCAAAAGAGACACAAACCTAAAATATATATAAATAAACATATATATATATAAATAAACATATATATATATATATATATATATATATTTTCTCTCTTTTTAAAATCTGCTAGAGATGTACATGATATGCTGTCATTTGTGTCCCAGTAAAAGAACATTTTCTGTTCCAAGTTAACCAGATATTTCATTTTGGTCGCATGTACATAAGTTTGGAACAGGAAAAATAAATTGAAAAAATTAAAAATGTACAAAAACAAAACAAGCTTATGACTCACATTTAACTGAATATTATGTGATTTTTTCTCTAGTTGTATCAAGTCCCTAAACATTTAATCTGTGCACAGATCTGGTTTCTTTTTTGTGGTGATATTCTAAGCAAAGAGCTTTCTTCTCTGCAGTTGTTTTGGTCGGCGTAGCTCAGGTATTGTAAAGTTCTGGTTTGGTGAAATGTGGCTTCCCTCTATGTGCAAGTGGGGTTTTGGTGCGAGTTCTGTGTGTTTTCTATGTAAATTAAAAAAAAAAGAAAAGAGAAACACTTGTAGGTCTAATGATATTTATACCATTTCTGTACAGTGGTCTGTGTGGCAAACACTTGTAGTACCTGACCTTTTCTGTTTTAGTAAAATACACAATGCTAATATTTGTGCCAGGTCTCCTCTTGGTATCGCATTTGCCAGACTACACAAAACTATAAACTATTACAAGCGGCATTTTCTCCTGGGAGCTGTTTGTCCTTAAAATCTACTGGAAACCTGTTAAAATCAAAAGTTCTTCTGCAAACTAAACGTGTTTAATTTGCATATGCACCACTTTAAATTAAATGTGTTTGCACCTTCTATCTGCTATCCTGACAGCAAGAAGAAATACTTATATATTCACTGTTGTCTCCTCTTCAGCCAAAGCTGCTGCGGAACACTGACCCACAGGAACCACCAACACAACAAAACAGCAGAGATTCTTTGTTATGGATCTCATCAGCAGTTTCAGCAGTTGCCAACTAATTAATTCACTTGTAACAAGTCTCTTTTATATGAGTGAGAACAAGACACATGTTTCTTAAAGAGTTTTGATTCATAGTTTTGAAATAGAATCAAGTTTTCTTGCTTCTGCACTTACATTGCACAATTAAGTAACAATAATTTATAACACGAGTGAATTGCTTTTTTTTTATCTGCAATTACCTATTTTGCTGGTTGGTCTGTATTTTTATGAGCAAATAAAAGAAGAGTGAAATGAGAGCCAATGCCTACATGCTCAGATTAGAGTTGGAGTGTTTTGACATTTATTTATTACATTGTTTGGCTTGATATGCTTGTTCAATTTCTACTGTCTTCACCACTGTCACCCAATGATCACGGTCCTGTCAATCAACTCGCAGTCATTAGAATATCATACGAATAATAATTTAAAAACACATGAAAAAAGTCATTAGAGCAATAAATATTGTATTAAACAATTATTTGGTGTCTGTTTACTTGTTTTGTTCCGGTTTGTTTTTCACAGTTATAAACTCATGCAAACATTTCTGTCATAGTTTATGTTGCAGTTTATACAACCTAACAGGATAATCTCATAGTATTCATTTTAAAGGAATATTTGCATTTGATTGTGTATTTGAATGTTGTTAGGGCTACATGAAGTCGATATGTAGTTTTGCTTTTTATACTGTTCTGTATTATCTGTCCCGGACAGATTAAGGTCAGATGTTCCAGCTCCTATAATACATAAGGATGTACACCTGTAAACAATAAACAATGTTTGACAAAGAATCACAAGGTCCACCCACTTGTTTTTCTCCATAATGTTTTGTTCTCCTTCATTTAGATAGTGACAGCTGGAGTGAGACAGGAAGACAGTGGAGAGAGAGACAGGATGACATGCAACAAAGAGGACTCAAACCCATGTTTAATTTTGAAACAAAATAACATAATAATTGAGGAATGAGATAATCACCTGATCTGTAACAAATGTGAATAATGGAACTTATTTGTCTTCTACCGGAAATTAAAATAGAAACAAAATGCAGGAAGCAGGAAATGTGGTTATGCTAAGGCTGCCCCCTAATAGTCGACTTAACCGTTGTGTATGCTAACCCTATTAGCTGCTGCCACTAGCTAGTTAGCAGTCCTATCATCTGACTTTGTTGAAATAAATGAACTAAATGTTCAGACTCCTTGCTGGTTGTTCTGACACATTAGGTTTATTAACGCTTTTTCTGTTGTCATTTAACAGGCAGCTGTTAAAATCTGTATATTTAAATAATTAAATTAATATTGTAAATGTGCTACTACAAAGGGAGAGAAAGAGAGGGAAGGGAAAGAGAGAGAGAAAGAGAGAGGGGATGACACCCAGCAAAGGGCCACATGGCTGCTGCAGCAAGGACTCAGCCTTGTTTCATTGGGGGCCAGGTCTACTAGGTATCCTGGCGCCCTGAAAGAGCCTCCCTTCATACTGTTTTAACTTGCTTAGGAAAATGTTCATGTTTGCAAAGGAGAAAGTAGAATGAGTAAAGCTTCTATACAACCGGTTCACATGCATGATGACTTATTTGTTCTCAAAACAAGAACAAAATTTTTTTTCCAATTAAACCTATTTCAATATATATCACAATGTCTTTACTGAGGTTTAGATAACTTTAATCTTCAGTCATGTTTGATTCAGACACAGAATAATAAGTATGATTCCCCAAAATTGAAGTTACAGGAAACTCCAAAGGGAGAATCTATAACTAACTGGTGTTAAACATGTTAGTGGCCTTACACTGAGCTCTTATAATAGTTTTTAGCTTCTGACAGGTCGCTGGTTCAGAGGCTGTGTTTAAAAACATGTGTTTCATCATGCAGAGAAAAACATGCTCCGAATACAGACTACTATTCTCGGTCTCCTACACCGGCTTTTAGACCTGTTAGTGAAACAAATGTTAAAGAAAAAGCACAATTTGTCTGACTGATATGGATCTTCTGATCTCACTCAGAAAAAAAAGCCAATTTCCCCAAATGTATGTCCCTGCATCTTCCTTGGTGAAGTCCTGACAAACCTTCATTAAGGCGCCACTCATGGAGGTACAGGATGAGGAAGGCAAGTTTGATTTCTCAGAATTAGCTGAGCTGATAATGAGCTGATTACATCCTTACACGCAGGCTGAGGTTGGCAGCTGTGGCTTATTGGGATACTTTTCACTCTCTTCAGCAGCCAGGGGCCTATCACAGGTCAGGTCATATGAAATCCACCTATAAGATCCTGATTTCACCCAAACACATTACCACAGAACATTCAGCTACTGTAAACTGAGCTTATATCTTAGCAGAGCTGGCACATGATGATCAGAGAATAGTGCCTATGCCTATACACTTGTTCACATAAAGTTAATTTAATCTGACTTGTTCACTGGTACTTGGTTTAAACATTCAAAAGAAGATGTATGTCACTCTACTTCCTACTACTAACTTAAGAAAATAGAAATTTTATATTGGTTTGTCCTTTGATAAATGACAAATGATAGA